TATTAGACATAGCAAGTCGTGGCCAGTACTTTTATAGTAGGGATGAATTTCAAATGTAAAATAATTTCAGATTCTAGATTTTCTTAGGACAATTATGGATAATTTTTCAAATGTTCTGATTGTTTATTAACACGATGCTAATGACTAGTTTAACGTATATCTTCGTGCCAACAAAAGTGACCTCAGCGTATGGATGCCGCCACTTGCGTGGACATCACGTGATGGAAGTGATGTCACTTCATGTGATGTCATATTTTCGGATCAGTCTGAATTTTTTTTTGTATTCATTAAAACCACGTCCAATTTTAGGTTTTTAAGGATGAATAAAAAATGTGGAATTACATCCTTAGTTTCTAGAGATATGTTTGCCACGTCATTCACCGAGCAGTGGATTGACAAAGAGCTGCACATTATTGCTTGTTGTTGTATTATAGTATCACCTTGCCAGCAGTTTCATGTGTAAGCGATTGCATGGCTGCATCTTTCACTTTTACCATATATTCCATCACCGTAGTAATGTAGTATATAGGAAAATGTTATTTCACAAGGGTGTTCCGGGTTAAATAATGAGCTTGATTTCAATGCCATACATGTAAAACACAAGCACCAATAACAACACAAATCATGGGGCCTCCTTTGCCAGTACCAAAATATGATAATAGGTTTTTCCCCTTTTTTCTGGCAACAAAACAGGTGTTAAGATGTTCATATTCTTGGTTCTTAAGATATTGATATTCTTGTTTCCCTTCTACGTGACTTTACCGAAAGAACCAAGAATATGAATCCCTGCAGTCACGAAAGATTTTTAATCAAAATTTAGGTGTTAAGATGTTAAAACACCAAACTGAAACCTTTTACAAGAAATCATGTATGCATTCACCACAATGCTTGTGGTCAGAATGCAAAAAAATCCTCTGATAATATATGCATTGTCCTTGAAACGGATTGGTCCACACCAGAGACAGCTTTCTTTTGAGCCTCGTCTCAAACGGTGTTAGACCAGAGGACGCCTTTTGGTGTTTAACATCATAAACCTATTCTTAGCTCTTTCGGTAAAGTCACCTGTTTTGTTGCCAGAAAAAAGGGGAAAACCCTATTATCACAACAACACAAATTTGAACAACTACACACGTCTATTGCAGCATTGGAGTCGACATGTTTCGCTATGGGCGGGACATGTTCAAAATCACCAGGTTAAAGACAGCTGCCACGGCATTGCCCCATTCATCTGCTGCCACCTGCTGTACAGAATAAGACTTTCTACCATTCGTGTTTAGCAATACGGGTAAAACCACGCATAGCTTGGCCTTCTCTAAAGTCGATTTGCTCGTTATTCATCGAAATATTTCACGTGGGAAACCCCAATATATGAAACGCCGCGTTGGACAAAAAAGAAAATCGACAAGTGGAATGATTTATCATGTTTAAAAATCAATACGAACGTTTACAGGCACAGGCCTGTTGTTGCATGGCACATACTCAAACAATAGCAGCAAACTCTCATCTGCTTTCCATAACTTTCACGATCACCAAATCTATGGTACATTCATTATTTATATCACAGACTTGCCAACCACGTGCTGAATAAAATCAACAAAGAGCTTCAATGATTTTTTTGCCATGTTTTGTCGGAATGGAAAATTACGTGACGTCGAAAGCAAAAAATAATCGATGTTATCCCTCCAGTACAGGCCCCTTCCGCCAGGAATAGCGCGATCAAGAAGTTGAGCTATACTCTTACCACTCGACCTTATCATCGGGCCCCTATCAATGCAGACACGCATCTCTCTCTCTCACTGTGTGCCGTGTCCTTTCTAAAAAAAAAAATACGGTCTATCTTCCGTTTAGATCTGTCCATGATATTTAATCAAGAACTTGTATTCGATGCAGTACTCCCAATTGCGTCCAACCGTTCACATTGCTTATGCAGATCTTGTGCTCTCTTTCCTGGCTTATTGTACCGATCGTTTTCTCAGTCAATGCATCGCGTCCAGTCTCTTGCCTTTTATCCAGGATGAATAAATATTATCATTAATTATATATCCAAGAACTCAAAATGTAATTTCTCTAATTATTAGTAATAATTCTACTAGAACTCTGCTGTTACTGGTTTAAACAGAAAGTGTCTTCGCTCACAGCCCTTTCCAACACCCGGGTAATAGACATGTCACGTCAACATTACCCATTGTATCTCTTCCCTTTTCAATATGTCGTGAATGTTTTAAGTTAGCGTGTACTTAAAAACGAATAATTAACGCAGTGTTGCTGACGTTTAAATGCGCACCCCATTGTCTCGTGCCCGCCTCCGCCGAACTACAACGCTGGACACTTTAATTTGCGAGCGTTTGTGTAGTTTTGTTCAAAAGATAATGAAGCGACTATTATTATTCCGTGGAACTGAGGGCTATTATTACTCCGCGATCAATGTGTTATAGAGGTTAACGTGCTATGTGCCTCACTGTGCGCAGGGCAAGCTGACCTGTCAGTTTGCACCCGTTGTTCGCTCTCCACCCTGCCGAGCACACCTATACGTCTTGTCTCCTGTCACGGTAATGGAACAGTGTGACAAGTAAACGTGAGTTGATAGTTAGTGGAGATGAGCGCACTCATGGTGGTGAGCCCACTACGCTGGCCTCGCGAGAGATGGCGGCGGCTTGCGTGAGGACTTCATGCAGCAGTGGGTTGAACATGGCTACTACTGCTGCTGATGATGATGATCATGATGACACTGGTGTGCAATGGGGCATTGTCGCAGGTCAAATGAAGCAGGGTGGCACAGTTGGGTTATGATGGCGCATGCCTGTGAACTTTGGATGCAAAGGTTGGTGGATCATGCTGGTTCATGAGACATGTAAACCCGCTTGAAATCTGAGGTTGTCAGATGGCAGGACAGCAAATTGGTTGTGAACACACCTGTTCAGACCTTTGAGCGGTAGTATGTCCCTTGTTTGTTGGGGTTTTCTCGCAGTACGTTGGTTTCATATCACATGCCATTCAAATTGGTCAAACATCCCATGGCCAGACAATTGAAACAAATATTGAGACTCAGAGAGTATTTCCTGGAGGCAAGGTTTGGTGAATCACATGGAGCGAAAATCCCAAATTCAATGGGCTGTGGGGTCACCGGGAAATTGCAGTACATTAGTACAGCAATGAATACTTTAATCTACCTGTGTGGAACTTTTTGAGTGTTTTACCCCATAATGCACTAGAGTTGTCTCTATGTTGCACATTCCAAAATGGAGAGATGGACTCCACATCGATGGCAAGACATTCATTTAAAATCTCTATGAAATGTAAAAAATATTTACATCACACTGAGCAGGTCTGTATCAGGCCTCCATTATCCATGCGACTGGTGTACCAAACAAGGTCGCTACTCAGGAACCACACCAGCCACCCACTGACCGGGAATCTATACTCACTGCCCTTGTAAATACACGTGTTTGCTTAAACCTTTAGCAAATACGGACCTTACAAACAAACCCAACTGATACGTGCCTGAAAGAGAAATAATTGCGTGGGGTGCCCATTTCATGTTGTGCAACGCTTGGGTTTCTCTCATATGAAGCCCAACATCCCAAAAAGAGCACCCTACAAAAGAATATGATTGAGGCACAGTGAGGCTTCTACTGGTCGTGTGTGGCCAGCGTGGAAGATCAGGCCAAATACCGTCTGGGGGGTGTGGGGGGCTCTCAATGTCCGTCGATTCGCGACGCTTCTGCCATAAACGGCATCAGCAAGCGACAGAAGCGCTGCACCTTTGCATTCTCCAAAGCAAAGTTTGTAATTCGTTTAGAATAATCTGGAGCACACAAGTTTTGTTACGCATCGCGGAAGTGACAGCTGAATTAGGGTATTTTCATTGTGAGTTTCATCTTCCTGAGAGTACAATGAAGAGCACTGAATTGTCATCACAAGAACGTCGCTTCTACTTTTCGCCGAAGCCCACAGAAGACGAGATTCTGCAAGAAGCAAATTGTGGGAAACGTCTCCCGAATATTTAAATGTTTTTTGGGGTTTGCATGATTTTTTATTCTTTCAATGAGTGTATTGCTTCACCAAACCCACTTCAGTTTATGTCGAAATTGAAAAGTAATTTCTTTAGAGCTGTTTTTTTGTGTTAAGTTTATTGTCCTTCCCCCGCGACTTCGAGCATGGTTGGCTACGTAAGGTGCGAAAGAAGCTCAATATTATGAGACGCCCTTTGCCAGTAACAAGATATAGTAATAGGTTTTTACCCTTTTAGCTGGCACAAAAACTGACACCTTTATACAAGGGATCATGTTTGCAATAACCACAACACAAGCAGTCAAAAATGCAAACAAGGACAGTGCATATCATTATCAGAGTTGTTTCTTTTTGTTTGCATTTTTGACTGCTTGTGTTGTGGTTATTGCAAACATGATCCCTTGTATAAAGGTGTCAGTTTTTGTGCCAGCTAAAAGGGTAAAAACTATTACTATAAGCTCAATATTCATACACAACCCCACGTGTTTCATTTGCGTGGAATAAATTACAAGTAACTTGTACAGCTTAAAAAGTCTGGAAGCAGAAATTACGGTACATTTGTATGTTTTTTGTTTACAATTTGTCACATGCGGGGACATAATATGCGTCTGAATATATATATTCTACTCCACATATACACTGGAGATGAGTAATGTATAACGTTTTCATTTTTTTGGAATATCATATTTCAGATTTTTCTGACCAGCGTCTGATTTATATTTGTATTTTCAAATTAAAACTTTAATAGTTTACAGGTTAACTTAAAATAAATATGTATATATTTTTATAGTTGTAATATTCATCATTGCATTTATTTATTTGTACCTCAATTTCCATCGGTTAGACAGATAACTCGTTAACATTGTTCATGCCTAGCACGTGACACCACGCCGTCACCCCACCCCCCCCTGCACAATAGGGGCCATAAACCAGTGGCACGCAGGAGAGGCTATGAGCTAAGGCCATTGCTGTGCTTAATCATACCCCCTATTGTCCCGAGGTAAGGCTATTCACACATAAGCCAGTTTTACCACTTAGTTTATTATCAGGATAACAAAAGGCAGCGGCTAGAGCTGCCAATTCCAAGCCCTTGGGGGTTTATTTAGTCCCGCATCAGCGCTGTCAAGACGAGCCATTGCCAGAAACGTTGCTTTATTGTTGTGAATAAATATTCATGTTCCTGGCAGCTATTCACGAATTCATGTGTTGAGTCGTATCGATATTTGTGCTTCTGCCCAACGCTTGCGTAGTCCATGGTACCATCACAACGTTGTCTTTATATATTTGCATCGCGTTATTTTCGTTTGTAAAAAAAATATACAGTACGGTGCATATTTTTTTCTGATTGCTTAGAATCTTTCTAATGTTATTTTGCATTTGTGTTTAAAATGTGACGATGAAGCTTTGTGCCAGAAAAGCGTCACGTGTGTAAACTAATGTAACATTGACTTACGACGACGTTGCAATGCTGTGGTGTTTTACAAAATGAGAGTCATTGCATTGCGATTGACATCACTCTTGCATAGCTATTATTACTATTATTAGGTAATGTTCATTGCTACCTAAAAGTCTTATTGTTCTTTCTTTTATAACTAATTGAATAAGTATCGATGATGGGGAGCACTTCGCCGGACGAGGGGGAAGGGCCTCGTGACGTCACTGGAGCGCTGCTGCTTTGTGGGAGGAGCTGAGCGCGGACACGCGGAAGTGGGTGGGCTCTCCCCACTCACTCTCCCCACTTACCCTCCCACTCACTCTCCTCTTACTCTCCCCACTTACCCTCCTCACTCACTCTCCTCTTACTCTCCCCACTTACCCTCCCCATTCACCCTCCTCTTACTCTCCGCACTCACTCTCCTCCCACTCTCCTTACTCCGGTGCGAGGCTCACCCGGCGTGGACAGCCGCGCCTTGCGATAGCATCGCACACAGCGAGCAGCCGGGCACAGCCTTAGGGCTGCAGCGACCAACGACTGCTCGTGGAGCTGAGAGTGGGAGACTGCTGGTGGAGTTGAGAGTGGGAGACTTCTGGTGGATTTGAGAGTGGGAGACTTCTGGTGGAGGTGAGAGTGGGAGACTTCTGGTGGAGGTGAGAGTGGGAGACTGCTGGTGGAGGTAACAGTGGGAGACTTCTGGTGGAGGTGAGAGTGGGAGACTTCTGGTGGAGGTGAGAGTGGGAGACTTCTGGTGGAGTTGAGAGTGGGAGACTTCTGGTGGAGGTGAGAGTGGGAGACTTCTGGTGGAGGTGAGAGTGGGAGACTGCTGGTGGAGGTAACAGTGGGAGACTTCTGGTGGAGGTGAGAGTGGGAGACTTCTGGTGGAGGTGAGAGTGGGAGACTTCTGGTGGAGTTGAGAGTGGGAGACTTCTGGTGGAGGTGAGAGTGGGAGACTTCTGGTGGAGGTGAGAGTGGGAGACTTCTGGTGGAGGTGAGAGTGGGAGACTGCTGGTGGAGGTGAGAGTGGGAGACTTCTGGTGGAGTTGAGAGTGGGAGACTTCTGGTGGAGGTGAGAGTGGGAGACTGCTGGTGGAGGTAACAGTGGGAGACTTCTGGTGGAGGTGAGAGTGGGAGACTTCTGGTGGAGGTGAGAGTGGGAGACTGCTGGTGGAGTTGAGAGTGGGAGACTTCTGGTGGAGGTGAGAGTGGGAGACTGCTGGTGGAGGTGAGGGTGGGAGACTTCTGGTGGAGGTGAGAGTGGGAGACTTCTGGTGGAGCTGAGAGTGGGAGACTGCTGGTGGAAGTGAACCTGGTCGTGGAGGTATAAATAATATTGGCTGTGGTTGTGGAGGTGAGCAGGTGGTGGAAGCATTGGCAAATCCATAATTGGTCAAGTTCAACCCGGTTAGCTGGACCTCAAGCTATTCTGATTTCGCATTTCGCCAAACCAGGTGGTGCGAGATGCCCTTTCTGGGGGTGTGAGACATGGCCAGATTTAATTAGAAGGTAAATCCTCAACACAAATTAAGCACTGGCACGTAAGTACAACTACTTTGTTTCATCAAATCCTATGCATGTATTAAGATTCTAAATGTTTTTACGATTGAGAACCAAAGGGGGGAGGGGGGTGGTGCAGGCTGCCGTAAAAGTTATAAATGTGTGTTTTTTGTAATATAGGGCCCTATTACAAACCTTGGCATTTTGGAATCTCCCCTCCCTTGCCCACCTGGGAAGTTTCTAGATCCACCTCTGGGTGCAGGTGAGCATGGTGGTAGAGCGTGAGTGGTGGAAGTGATTATGGTGGTGGTGGTTGTGGTGGTGAGCCTGGTGATTAGACGTGGACACAGTAATGGAGGTTTGCTGACCGTGTTTCACGTGTCTCGTTTCGTTATTTCCAGGTCACTCGTGCAAACGAGACTTCCTGGTCTCTTGAGTCCTCACCTGATTGAACAAAATCAACTTGTCAGCTTTCGCCAATGTTGTCATTTATTCTCGTGGTCTTTGCTAATCCTCGTTGTCTTCGCTAATCCTCGTTGTCTTGTTATCATCGTTGTCTTATCATCGTTGTCTTGTTATCATCGTTGTCTTGTCTCTCGTCGAGAGCAGACCGTGGCCATGGTGCGCGTGTACGGCTGCCACCCGTTCTGCGGGCAGGAAGTGCTGCCCGTGTGCGAGGAGCCGTCGCTGTTGGCTAGCGGCTCGCGCACCGTGCTGGCACTTGCCGCCACCAGGGCCCTGCTGCTGCCCGTGCAGCTCGGCCCCACCGCCCGTGCCCTGAGGCCCTTCCCGGCCGCGGGAGACAGTGTCACCGCCATGGCCTACAGCGAGACCGGTACGGGCCCAGCACACCCCCCCCCCCCCCACCCCCTGGCGAAAATCTATGGTGCCATGTGACTTGCAGTCATTTGGTCATTGGCAATGCCCATCGTGGTGAGGTATGATGAAACGACTCCCATGACTGATGAAGCCATGGGGGGGAGGCCTTCGTCCAGCAATGGATGAGCAAAAGGGGATAGTGACTTACACTTCGTTATGCTACCCATCCCATTGCTACCATCAAATATTCTCCTCAATCCTAAATCAAGACGTTGCATGGTGCTATCATGACGACCAACGCAGCTGCACAAATGTGTCCATTATGCATTGTTGCAAGCAGTAGACTTAAAATAATAAGGTTTTTCCCCTTTTTTCTGGCAACAAAACTGAAACCTTTTTACAAGGATTCATGTTTGCATTAACCACAATACCTGCAGTCAAAATGCAAACAAAAAATTACTATGATAATATATGCATTGTCCTTGAAACTGATTAGTCCACACCAAGGGACGGCTTTCTTTTGAGCCTCGACCCAATTGGTGCTCGACCAGATGACGCCAAAAGGCGTACAGCTCAAAGACAATGCACTATCAAAGTAATGAGGGCTCGGGGTTTCAAGGACAATGCATATATTATCATAGTATGTTTTTTGTTTGCATTTTGACTGCAGGTATTGTGGTTAATGCAGACATGAATCCTTGCAAAAAGGTTTCAGTTTTGTTGCCAGAAAAAAAGTGGAAAAACCCTATTATTACATTTTGGTACTGGCAAAGGAAGTCTAATGAAGCAGTAGACTTCTTTACTGGTGTTAAAATTGTGCATTTTTTCCCGCCTCTGCCTGCGGTTTTTCCGCTTCCCAAAAATAAAGTGTCCCGTTACGTTCCACTGAACGCACACACACGGCCTCTGCTTGTTGCTCTCCGGACCTGCGGTCACATTTAGGGGAAATCCGCATGTGACATGGGCCGAGTCAGAGCGCAGGACCCCCCCCCCCCCTTCCCCCGCCGCTGAGATCATGGGTTCAAATCCAGGCAGTTTGCACGTGATTTAGACCAGTTGATCACATGTGGTGAGTCTGTTATAAATGAATGCGCAGGGAGGGGGGGAAACCCCCATCACGTAAACGTTGGTTTCACACTTCATTTGGCTAAATTATAGCTCTGTTTAACACGTAGGCTTTCACGACCAATATTATTCATAATAAAGGTTTTTGGGTTGGATCGTGTTATGTATAAATGTGTCGTAACCCTCCACCACCCCACACGGCCAATCAGCAAAAAAGTGTCACGTTGACAAAAGACAAATAGTTCACTACTTTAGCCCACCGGTGTGTTGAAGAGTGAATCCACAACAGATTGTTAAAACAATTAAAATTCCATATATCTCAGGAGTAACTAACAAATTAGCCCATGTTTTGCAAAAGCAAAACAATACAGTAAGATTTGGTACAGTACACAAAATTCAAAAACTAGTATCTTGCACTAAAGACGCATTACCTAAATTATCAACAGAAGGTGTATATCGGCTCAATGTTTATGTGGCAAATGCTATATTGGACAGACGGGACGTAACATCAGCATAAGACTAAAAGAACACCAAATAAATATTAAATTATCTCAAACACAACTGTCGGCAGTGGCAGAACATGCTCGTCAACAATGACACAATTGATTTTGATAACGTTGAAGTGTTGTGTAAAACTAATTATTACTGGCAAAGACTAATTAGAGAATCCATTGAAATTGAGAGAAATAGAAATAACTTTAATCGCTCTGACAGCTACAGGCTTAGTGCGGCTTGGAAGCATATTATTAAATAATACATATTACAATTCCTTATAGGGGAAACACATACTAATTAACGGATTACTAACATAGCATATAATCCCAATAACACACATTACAACTAATTACTAATCTACAACTCATTACTAATCACAACCATTGACTGATTACCAATCGATTATATAATTACAATACCCCTCCCTCCGCCTCAAATCACTGCACCTGAATTAGTTAAATGATGACGTCACCCTGCTGCTCTATTTATGACCGGGAGCAAGCGAGGGCTTTACTATTCTGGCGAATTGCCCGATGATGCTGGATGTAATTACCAGCAAAACGTCGTACTCCTCAAACTGTTAATGTTGTGGATTCACTCTTCAACACACCGGTGGGCTAAAGTAGTGAATTATTTGTCTTTTGTCAACGTGACACTTTTTTGCTGATTGGCCGTGTCGGGTGGTGGAGGGTTACGACACATTTATAAATAACGCGATCTAACCGCAAAAACCTTTATTATGAGTTTATAGCTCTGTGAATAAAATACAAATCTCGTTTTGAATGTACTGTCATGCGGCGGACGTGACTCACGGCGGGATGCTCCTGGCCGCTCCCCAACGTTTTTCTTCTGGGAGTTTGTCTCCTCCTTGGGGAGAGGCCGTTCTTCGTCACGCAGGGCTTGCGATGCTCTGCGATTGGGCCCCTCGTCTCACAACGTCGCCAAGTGCACAATTGTGAAAATGTAGTTGAGTTTTAAAGGCAAAAGGGGGGATAATTGTGCTCTTTGAAGGTTGTTAGATTTGTGTCATTTCAAGTGGGTGCCCGTTCTTGCGAAGTTCTAAAAGATACATTTTTGAATGGCTATTTAATATTTGATCATAAATCTAATTGGCATAGTAAGCTTTGAGAACATAAACATCAAAGAGACTCGGTCACGGTGGCAGAACATAAATCTAGTTGATAATTTACTCTGCATAAGAGATGCAGTGTTGTTTCATGTATTCTCAGTATTTAATTAAATAAATTGACATACTTTCATCCATAAAAAATAAAACATTTTTTTTAACTTCCCTTCAACCGCAATGGCGATGTGTTTTGCTATTTATATTCTCCGCAGTGATGCTAATGATCTATTTTGTGAATTCAGTATAAGATGTGTGCAATTAATCACTTGTGACAATGTTTAATCTTATAGCCTTTACACATGAAATCCACCCTCTTGAACAGCAGACAAATGTAGCATGTTTAACAGTTTCCTATAATAATGATATAATTTGCAGCTCTTTTGTCAATCCGCTGCTGGATAGAGGCCTCCTAATGTCGTATCGTTCACGGTAGTTCGACCATAATTCATTTCGGTGAATCGGTGCGGACTGACAAACGGTGGGCCTCGGAATAGTTCAGATATCGCTCGCCACCGATGTTAGCCACGGTCAAGGTACGAACTGAGGTCGTCGGATTGATAGCACAACGCGGTATCACGTGTGTCACCACTGCCTCAGCACGGTGCTTTCACGAGGTTTATTTCACGTTGAGGTTCTGATACTTTGTAGGTTTTCCCATCCGCGTTGGAGAGCGTGCGGTGTGAGTTTAGCTCGTCTTTGAACCCCACGGCAACTTAAACTGTTGGCAAGCGGCTTCGTGCCCTCTCCAAAAACCATAAACGAGCGCGGTACAGTAAATGTATGTACAGTAAAAATTGCGGCCGTTTTTAGTGCCCCGTGGGGAAGTCTCAGGAGTGACAAATATTGAAACTCCTTCAAGAACAACAGATTACATACACCGCACAGTTTGTTTTCGACCACCGAAAGGGGAAGTGTGCGAGTTGGTGTTTTGTTGTCGGGGATAAGTCACCATAGTGGCGGGTTTTTTAAGGACGAGGTGGTGACAAGTCGTGAAAAACACCGAGAAGCAAGCGCGGGACTTTCTACTTAGAGTAGGGTTGATTGCAGGCACGTGATGTGCCCTCAGCTCCCGCTGGGTAAATATCCCCGACCGTCTCCCTCCGCTGGAACACCTCCGTGACGAAACCGTAAACAAAATTCCAGACTTCTCGGCGCATCTTGTTAACGCGCAAGTCTCCCTCGCCACGCTCGCATCCTCGGAGTGATCACCCCCCCCTCCTCCTTCACGCTGTTCTGCCCCTTACCACGTAAAGAGCATCACATGTCAGAAAAGGTTTCGCTTGACAATGATTATATTTGAGACATTTACTTTAAATACCTCCGTGCACACCATGGACCTGTTTTTAAATGTGTTTCATTGTTTCGCCACGCGCATTTTGAAGTTCAGTCCCCTTGTACGGCTTGCATGTGAGCTGATCATTGGCTGGCACCCCCTCTTCACCAACCTGAGCGGATTATAGACACAAGCCACAAGAGTGCGATCGTGGCCACGCAAACCGTGGAAACTGTATTAAACCCGTAGAGACACACGTACGACCAATATTACGATTCATTATTAGGTTGTTTGGGGTTAGATCATGGAGGTATACAGTAATAACCCGACACCACCGGACAGCCGCTTAAATAGATTTGTCACGTGGGCATATGCGCCATTTGATTTGGCATATTTTGACGCTCTAATTTATTTGGCTCTTTCGTTATGTGTATGTATGTTGAACTTGGCAGCGTACATAGCGAGCCGTGCTAATCGGAGGGTGGTGGATTGGTTCCATTTTGTAAAATGACTTTATACCTACACGGCGATCTCGCCCAAAATAAACTAACCGCGAAACAACACGTCGGCTGTGAAAGCCCGCGTACAGAACTGTGGCACGCGTGTCACTTGCAGGCGACTACGTGGCCACGATCGAGAGCAGCAAGAGGAGCCCGCCGACGGTGCGAGTGTACGTCAACTGGCGCCAAACGTCGCCGCAGCACGCCCAGAGAGCCGGCACGTCCGCCGACGGGCCCCGGCCACCAAACGGCGACGACTTTGCCGGCGTGACGCCAGTCGGCCAGGCGGCGGCGGCGGCGGCGACTCCGCGGTACCGCGTGCGCATGGCCGGCCACGCGCTGTCGCGGCAAAAGCACGGGGCCCAGAGGTCGCCCTCGCACGAGTCGGCCACCCACGTCATCGAGATCAGCATGCAGGTGGAGCAACCGTGCCCCAGCGCGTCGCGGAGCCGCGCGGAGCCGCGGTCGCGAGATGTGGCGGCAGTTGAAGGGCTGCCATTTTTTTTACTCCGAGGTCACGGCGGCGGTTCACGCGTAATTGTGAATTCGAACAAAGTCCCCGTAAATTAGAAAACTGCGTCACTTTGAAGTGAGCGTAGAATGAATGCTGAGCATGAGACGTGTCCCCCTCTTGCCTTTCAAAATTTTGTGGTGGTTTGCCCCCCCCCAATATTCCAGCTCTTCTCCGTGAATCATTGTTTTTCCTGCACCTCAGCCTTGAATTCTACTAAAGATCACTCTGCCAAAATTGTAGCCGATGTTGGCCGTAAGCGGGAATCGAACTCGGCTCGCCGGGTTCGTAGCGCAGCGCTCTAACCCTCTCCGCTACCCCTCACCGCGCACAATACGCAACAAACACACCCAGAGCCGCTTCTGTGAGTCGGCGCAGTATAACGACCGTCGGATTTTGTGAAGTTTCATCCTGTTGGGAATTGTTTCGTGAAGGAGCAGCCGTTGTGCCTGGCGTGCTGTCCGACCACCGGCAACCTCCTGGTGGGAGCGGCAGGAAAGCGCCTCGGCCTATTCTGCCGCGTTGCCCACGTCCAGCGAAAGCTGCCGGCGCACGGCGCCAGCTCCGAAACGGACGAGTCCGGCTCCGAGCACGAGTCCTCCGACGGCACCGACGACCCGGTACGAGTTGGCGAGCGACCGGTTAAGTTGGTTCGCTTAGTTGGTTTAGTTCAGCGCCCGAGTTGGATTCCTGGCCACGGCTAACCTCGGTGGTGAGCGACCCTCGCTGAACCAGAGTGGTGAAGTGTGGTCCAAGCAACCCCTGCCCCATTTGACCGACCGAGCGCTGTTGTGTTGCTGCTGCCGTTCCGCAGAACCTCGTCGACTTTGAGCGATTTGCCGTGCTCACTGTCGCGTTTTCGCCGCTGGAGGTGGCCCTCTGCGAGAACTACCTGGCCTTCCGCTCGGAGATCGACGTCCAGGTCCTGCAAGTGGACATGGGGGCCTTTGCCGGCAAGGGCCTTCGCCAAGACGGCAGTCCCTCGGCGAGACGTAAGTGAGGCCCCGAATTCGGCCGGTGTGAGATGGTGACTAACCGGTTGGAGGCCAAGCGGCTACCTGTATGCATGAAATGATTGGGCAATCAAGATTGAACGTGTGCTGCTGGATCATATTGGGCAGGGCAGCCGGTAGGAAGTGGACACAAGCACGTTTTCATGTTTTTATGGAAGAATGGAGCACTGCTTATTCACCCATAATGTTCCATGGCAATGCATGGTGTGTTTGTACCCAATATTAGCCCAAAAGGGTTCGTTTTATGGTTTAATCTTGGGACATGTGGGTGTGACTACTGAACAAATAAAACATGAATTCTCCAGCATCTTCCCATATGTTCGAGGCATAATTTAGTATAAACGGTACGTCATGCAAGTAGATTTCCCCGTTACATTTTTTTTTACTTGCAAGTTTTAGTGCAGTCTTGACTCGCTTCCACGATCAGCACTGGACGAGGATTGCTCGTAAACCTCGACGGCAAAATTGCCGACACGTGTGTCACGGTGAAGCATGCGGTGTTCAAAGTTGAAGCCCTTGCTGGTGTCCCGATCTCTCACTCTCTCGGCGTCGGGTGGTCTCCTCGCAGCCGCCTCTACGCCCGGCACGGCCGCCGAGCTGCGGACGGCGATCGGCTCGCGCGAGGTTCCCTACCGCTGCACCCAGCTGCCCGACGCCCCCTTCCAGGTGGAGTGGGCCGGCATGCCAACCCTCATGCACAACCTGGGCAACTCCCTGCATTTCTCCTCCATCCTCTACAGGTGCTGCCCTGGCGTCACTCGTGCTGCGTTGGCTTTTCGCGGCCGTGCCACGCAATTTTTGTTTCACGGGGTTTGTGTTTTTTTTTTACTTAAACCAAAACGTCAGGTGTCAGAAATGGCGTCGAAAAGCCGTGTGGTGGTCGTTTGTTCACTACGACGATGGTGACGATGATGGCGATTGTGGTCAGGCGTGAAATGGATTCTGCCGCTGACCGACGCGTGAATCGAAGCGTGCGTGTAAGAAGTGATAAATCTTCTAATTGGGTGAACAAAATCGTTGCACACGCTTGATTCTGAACCCCAAAAGCGTGACTGGTAGTCAATTCACAGCGAGCCTAAATATTCCGCACTAGCTCACCGTTCGCTTTTGTTTAATATAAAATTCTACAAAGTAGGTCACACCTGCATATTTTTATTATACGAATCGTAGACATTTATAAACATAAATTGAAAGGTTTTTTTCTGTATATTTTGTCCATCCTCTCTCGCACACCCGCACCGTGTTTACACGTGTACATTGTATATCCTTGTTGTTGTTACTCAGCATGCCCGTGTGCATTTCACCCACGTGGTTTTGCGTGCGCTCTGCCCTTGGCCATACGTCTGTGTGTAGGAAGTTCGTGCCCAGCTTGTCCGCCCAGGCAGCAAGGGAAGATCTCCTCCACTCTCTGCAGCTCGTCCCCATCTACGTGCACAGTAAGCCGGGTTGCTCCCTGCGTTTAAACGCGTGCGTGCGCGCACGCCACTAAGCACTCGCGCTTGTATACGGGGGGGATGTCACCAGACTGACCGGTGACCAACATCGTCTCTCAAAGCTCACCGTGGGTTTGATGTGCTGCCATCTATTGGCCACTGTTTGTCGGTGGTGTCATGTTCTTTTTTTTCGCGCACATGGTGTGTGATTGCTTCACGATCCACCTACCCCCTCTCTAAATTGACGGGTTACAGGCCTACGCCGTCAAATAAAGTAGTACTACCGCCCTCTGCTTGACCTGGAAAGTCGTGCTGAGTCTTAGAGACTTGGACTTTTAGGAGGATTGTAGAAAACTGGCATGTAAGAGTGGGCGGGGGGGGGGGTAGTGCTCAACGCTCCACACAGATCGGCCAGGCGGTGAAGCCAGGCTCTGCCTCGCTCGGCTTCCGAGGACAGTGTCACCCGGTCGTCTTGAACTTGTCGCTTCGCGTTCTCCGCACGAGACATTCGCGAGGACAAAGCCGGGCTCGGCCCCGACCCTGTCCCGAGCGTGACCGCGTCTCTCTCCCTGCGCCGCAGACCCGTTCGAGGCGCGGACGAAGCCGCACTTGGCTGCCCCCCGCCTTCCTCCTCCCGCTTTGCTTCTGAGGTCGATGCCCTGACCCTGTCCCGAGCGTGACCGCGTTTTTTGTGTCTCCGCGCCCGCAGACTGGCACGAGGCGCGGACGAAGCCGCCGCTGGGCGGCGAGCGGCAGATGGCCGCCCTCAGCTGCTTCTTCAGCCAGTCGCGCGAGGGCTTCCTCTACGACGTGCTGGACAGCACGAGGCTCGTCTCGCACTACCAGTACTCGGCCGTGTCCCTGCAGGCCGCGCTTGGGACCCACCTCCTCTACGTCGTCACACGGTGAAACCGCGCACGATGCTTTGTTTGGGACCTGACAATGATTATATGGAAACTATTATTATTATTATTAGCACGGTTGGCTACGTACGGTGTGACGTGTGGTTCTTTCGAACGAACAAAAATACGCACGCGTGTGGCAAACCAAAAATATTATTTTGGCATAAATTTCCATTCCATTATCGGTAACGATAAAATGAATCACAAATGCGATGGTTTTATTTTACGTAGCGTCAAAATGCAACCGCACTTCCTTTGATGCTGTATGGAAACAGTAGCTGTATATTTATATTAATCGGTGGGTCAGGTCGTAGGCAGAGAAACAAAAGAGAGAGGTTTTGAACATTGGCAGCGAGTCGACAGCACGGACGGCTGAGGGACGCGACTAATTCCAGACTCCAGTGGGGGGGGGGGGGGGGCAGCAGACGAGAATGAGCGACCTCCCACTGAGCAAAGTTTGACCGAGGACGCAAGCGGCAAGTCTGGGTCGCTGGAGCGGGCGGGGAAAACGTAACGCAGTGAGCCTGGACTTGAACAGTCTACAACGAGTCGCCCGCACGGACGGCTGGGGGATAGAGAACCCTTCAGTTATTGATTGCCCTTCTCTCATACCGCGCTGCAGCTCTGCTACCTTGACCACTCTGCACGTTCCCCCCGCATCTCCGATTTAGCACGGTCGGCTGCGTACACTGCGATTTGAAGCTCTGCATGCATACTTACATTCGACAGTCTTTGCCCTGCTATAAATACGATCCAGCAGCGGCTTGGCGGTGTGGGTGGGGAGGTGCGGACTAGATTGAGGAGGGGGGGGGGAGCAGAGTTGTGGGGGAGTTCGGCCCGTGGTGGACCTGCCTTCCAAACATGCGAAATCAATACACATTAGTTCCCCCCCCTACCCCCACTCCTTCTCAGCTGCTTATTGCACTCGTGACCCGAGACTCTCGCGGGAACGCGCGCAAATCGGCACATCCATCACCATCACAACGGCGTGGCACCGCTCGCTGGGGCGTTCCCCGCCACGTCTAATATTTCCAGGTTGTCTGGGCAACCTCATTATTACGCGGGGGGGGGGGGGTGGGCAGGGGGGGGTGATGCCTGTCCGTTAGTTCTGTGAACGCGATCACGGCCGAGGGGGAGAGTATCGAGCACGTTACGTGGCCGCGTTCCGTTGTCGGCGGCGGCGTTGTTGATGTTGTTGATGTTGTTTGTCGGTTTTTATTACCGAGTATTTTAGTTCCCCCTCCCAGCGATATTAGTCATTTTAACGAATCAGAATGTGTAACGCTCGCGGTATTCCTTCGCTCCCAGAGAGAGAGAGATTCAGAGGCACGGGAAACCACGGACAAAGCGGGAAGGCAGCCAGAAGCGGCGCTGACAATTGCCCAAGCTCTGAGGTTCTATAGTGGGATGTTTAACCAACCCCTTTCGTGATGCACGTGGAAGGAAGTCGAAGTACCCACGAGAAAACATATCCCTCGTACAGATGGAGTGCAGATGGCAATTGATCCACTTGCTATGCTGCCATACCCTGGCACACTGGGGGATGGCGTCCTCAACGCCCACCGGTCGGGATTTGCGTGATCCGCCAACCCTCGCCGTCCACCACAGTGCTGCATTTACCAGCCACGTGCGCGGCATGGCCACCAGGGCCCGGCGCCGTGCCATCGGTGTTGAGAAATTGGATGAAAGAGAAATGTCTGTTCAGAGAGCTGCTTTCCCAGTGAGCAGTGTCCTTGCTTGTGTGTCAGACAACATCGGTGTCGGTGACAACTTTTCTCAATGGAGGGCACACTTACATTTGTATGTTCCTAGGCATGTTGGACCACCTGCGTTCGACTCCCCCGGCATGGCTAATGTCGGTCGCGAGTGATATCTAAACTGGTCCCTGGTCCTCCTGTTCCCCAAACCGCGTTGACAGGCGTGGTCAAGTAAGGTCAAATAATTTCACGTGGCCAGTATGATGTGGGGGGGGTGGGGCTTCAGCCAGAAAGTGGATTGAAAAGTGGCTGTGGTTGTGACTAATTACGAGGCATGGACGATTCGCCCCGAACCGGCGGTGAAATTAACTGTGGGGACTCGCGGGGGGGAGGGTGGCGGAAGGGTGGGGGGGTGGGTCACTGTTCGAGTCAATAATCGATTCACGCAGGCCATAGATGCCTTTACCACGCGACGCACGACCTGTCGATCGATCAAACGTCATTCCACATATCTAGCGCCACCCAATAATATCGTTCCGCGGCCCTACACATGCTACACTCGTTTATACTGCTGACTAACTCGTGTTAGGATAAAATTCCTTGCGTATTTGCTTTGCTCGAAGTAAAAAAAAAAAAGAAACGCCGCCGTGGCGGCGAGCACCGTTAACTCTGCATTCCAGACGCAACGGGCGACTCGGGAGACCAGAGCGGGCTCGTTTCAGGGCTCTCGCGAGACAACCGGCGGCAGAGCCTTTGTGCGGAGGAATAGCGGTTCGCGGAACCCCCGTCTCATTTTAGCTGGAGGGGTGCAACCAACCGATCTCCTCCATCCGCTTTGGCAGCTCTCCAGCCGTTGGCCGCACAGTTTGATTGGGGGGGGGGGGGGGGGGTGGGGGGTGCTGCTTCACAATATGCCCAACGGTTTGTTTTTACTGCCCCGAAATGGGTTTTTTTTTGTGGATGCGAAAAAATAATTTGACCACGCCGTTGTGTCGATCTTGCATGATGGACGAGGTTTCCGGAGACGCGGCGAGTCGAGTCTGAACCTGTCCTGGGCCTCTGCTAGGTCGGCTCAGCCTTAAATGAGAGAATGAGGTGGCCATGTGTGGTCCTGACCATTCCCCCCAGCCACTTCTGCATCGTGCCGGCCTTAATAGGTGCTCGCTAAAAATGGCCTTTGACTCAACACCTTCGTCTAAAGTTGGTAAAGTTACAGCCCTGCAATTGCTTGCGCACTCCACTGCCGGCCAAAGTTCCTCCTCTTGAAAGGAACTTGATCGAGCCCCACTTAGAGAGGGTACGCTTGGCCTACCCTTCCACGTTGGCCAGACGTCTTGGAAGAGGTGGGAGCAACCACACTTTGCCCAACCACACGTGACTTTCCAATCAACTAACTGTGGTTATAGCCACTCATACTGTTGGGTGGGTAGTGGCGTGGGAGGGGTGGGAGGGATTTAAATCTTTGTCCTCGTTGTTTAAACTGCCTCACCGGGAGATGGAGTTAAACCAACGGCCTGTGGATTGCAAAAAAAACCCTCCATTATATACTTTTCCTTTTAAGGCCACAGTCTTATTGACGAATCTGCGATTTCGTTAATATTTGGGGATGCTGCTGCCTATGCTGCTGCCCATGCAGCAGCATCTCCAAATATTAAAATCTGGATTGCAAGTCCAGTGGGCTTACAATTATTATACCCAGCAGCTTCACTCCAAATCGTCTCCAGCTGTGAACGTATTTCCAGAGTTATGTATTGGCTGTAAATGTATTTCCAGGGTTATGTATTAGCTGTGAATGTATTTCCAGAGTTAAGTATTGGCTGTGAATGTATTTCCAGAGTTAAGTATTGGCTGTGAATGCATTTTCAGAGTTACGTATTGGCTGTGAATGTATTTCCAGAGTTATGTATTAGCTGTGAATGTATTTCCAGAGTTATGTATTAGCTCGGTGGTTGTCTGAACTCGGGGTGCTTTTGTAAATTATTCTAATCGCTATTTTTAATGTATTAAAAATACTGTAAACATTCACAATAGTTTTTTGGGTCGGAGCGCGCAAGTAAAATATTCCTGTCGTAAATCCTCCACCAGCAGGGTGATTTTGAATCCTGCATAACTGCCTGATGACGCTAGTTGTAACTACCAGAAAAACGTCGAAGCAGATTGCAAAATGTGTGTGTGTAGATTGCTCTCCAATACCACACCAGTGACGCTGCCGAAGCTGTAATATGTTGGCCACGTTTGTTCCGGCGACAACTTTATTAATTGGCTGTCGGGTGGAGGAGGGTGCACGACACACATTTTACTTCCGCAATCTGACGCACGAATAGATTTGCCCATAGTAACATTGGTCGCTGAAGCTTGTGTGTTTAAATTTACCACGCACACACTTTGCAGTGTGTGTGCTTTGAGCGAGCACAAGAGAGAGAGAGAAATAAAAATCTACGTACTCAATCTTGATTTGAAGCTTTCGTGACTGCAGGAATCCATACTCTTTTGTTCTTTTGGTAAAGTCACGTAGGTAGAAAAAATAATAATAGATCACGACGTTTCGATCGCAACACAAGCAATCGTCATCAGGTAGGACCAACCACAGCAAGAAAATAACTACTGAAGTAGGCGAGAGATCTGCCGTGGCACGAGGTTATATACGTTTTAATTTTGTCTTTTCAGAGAGAACTTGGAATGCTACACTGTTCACAGTGTGACCCTGGCAACCAGAAGATCGGACCCCGAAGTAGATGGAGAGAGGAAGGTACAGCCCTTAACTTCACACGCTGGATGCAGCACACACGCGCGATTTAACCCTTTCCCGTTCTGAGACGTCTGCAATTTTCAGGGTGGCGGGCGTCGCGTTCGGCGCCGGATCTCGGAACGCGCAAGCGGCTCGGCGTTAATTTTATTTGGAGAGGCGTAGCGCCGTTGCTTTTTAAAGACATTGTACTCACCGCAGAGAACCGTAGCGACACGACCGCACTCTATAAAGCTGCCGCCAATCTCTGCCACACGCCCTCCCGCATAGCCTTCTGGGAGCCTCGGTTCCGACCTCGTTGTTTTTTAGTTTTTATTTTAGTTTTCCCGATTTCGTTCCAATGACGCACGTATGCGATCTCCATTCTGATGACGTACATGCACGTACGTCATCAGAATAGGAAAGGGTTAAACCAGAAGTGCAGCAGATCAAGAGACTCAGCCCGATCACCACTAACTGCGCTCATCACATTCATTACATTTATGTTTCACTTACTTTTGGCAAGATTTTTAGGTCTTGCATTGAAACGAAAATCGGTTTATTTGACAAAATTTGATGACTGAAAATTTAAAAATATTTGTTGATGTGACGAACATTTCTCATTTAAGAAGGCGTCTATAAAAGTTATTCGCCAGCCTGATGTAGATAAGTAATCACTGGAAAGGATCTCGGATGTATTACTTTGATATATGCTTATGCGATAGATGCTAGGCTGTCTTATTTGCCTCTGTGTTCAATCAAGTAGCAGCTTCATCTGTGGATTTTCGGCGATCGTATAAATAACTGAACATTTGAAACAAGAGGCTTGTATTGCATTAATCGGTGGGTATCTGCGCGAATGACTCTTGGCCTGAATTATATATATACATATTTGTTTACCAATTTTTTTTTTTATCTTACACATGTATAACATATGTAAGAGAATTCTTTGCCCCGAAATGTAAAAAAAAAACAATTTCATTCTGGTCAAAGGATGCTCTTACATACGTTATACATGTGTAAGAGAATCCTTTGACCCGAATGAAAAAAACAATTGTTTAAATTCGGGTTGAACGATGTAAAAAAAGTTTAACAAATATATTTCTGCCTTGGCACGAGTCGCCATTGTACTCGAGCAAGCTAATTGCAGGGCTGCTCCTCTCCACCTGACAGGAGGCCAGCTGATTGATTGTGTTTCTGGTGCCTCTGCCTCTCTGTGTCTGTCGTCTCCCCCGCCAGGCCTGTCCGCCGCCCAGCCTGGAGGTGTGCTCGCTGCGCATGCAGCACTTCATAGGGCTGCAGCGTGTGTGCGTGTCACGTGACCACGCCATCCTCTTCACACGCGCCGGCCTCAGAGGCACCAGTACACCCAGACGGCCGCAGCGGTGAGGAGTGGTGGGGCGGGGGGGGCGATCGTTGCTTTCACCACTCTCATGTACGACCGTCGGGCACCAACGGATGATCGTCTCCTCCGTTTCCAGACCCCTGCCGAGCCGGTGGTAGAAATTCCGCATTGCTGTGGTGGGGGCGGGTCCGTTAAACCCAAAGTCACCAGCAGTTGTGCTTTCTCACAGAGTTGTACTCATTTTATTGACCCCGGAGGGATGATTGGACGAGTTAACCCCCCCCACCCTCCCAACCAGGAATTGGACTCGCAACCTTCCACCTATCAGTCGCTCGCCCCTCCGGTCAAGCCGCCCGGCCGAGGACAGCTCTGTGAATCCTCACCGTTTACGATGGAACCGTGCCTCTCATGCGGGAGCCTCTACCGACGAACACTCGGTGCAGATATATTCTTGGTTCTTTCGGTAAAGTCACGTTGAAGGAAAACAACAAAATAATAATATATATAAAACAATACAATTTTCACGACGTCATCATCAGGTGTGAGAAAACCAGCGGCACCTGATGATGACTGCTTGTGTTGCAGTCGAAACGTCGTGAGAATTGTATTGTTTTATATATATTTTATTATTTTATTGTTTTCCTTCAACGTGACTTTACCGAAAGAACCAAGAATATGAATCGCTGCAGTCACGAAAGCTTTAAATCAAAACTCGGTGCAGACCTTCGCGCGGCCTCGTGGAAAAAAAACCCGACTGTGAATTGTAACATCGGCTGCGAAAAACCTAGCACATGTGGAGATAAGAGATGCGTCTGGGGGCTGGGGGGGTGGTGGTGGCTGCGTCGCCCTTTGACGGCCGCTGAGAAGTCGCCATCAAGGGAGCGCGTGCGTCCCGTGTTCTGTCGGTGTCTGCACTCGCAGGCAGTAACCGCACGGGGGCAGCAGAGCTGCACCCTGGGAAACGCGTCCCACGTGGGAGCGCAGGGCTGCCCGTGATTCCGATAACAATAAAGTTGAAATGCCCATGCATGCATACCCATCAAACCATGCGGTTTAGCCCGTATTCCTGTTAAGGGAAATTTAGTTTGCAGGTCCATACGGCGTACCGAAGGAACCAAGAATAAAAAAATATATATGTTTGTTTGTGTTTCTCCCTCGTGATGGGGACTTTGTCGGATGAACGTTGAGATCTATAAGGGCACGGGGTGACCAATAAAGTCTGAATTGGTCTGTAATGAGGTAGGCACTGATAAGGAGTTGACAGGTATGTGCTGTGAAGAAGGCACCGTCGCCTTCTTTAAACGTCATAATAACGTGTTAGCTTAACACGCAGGCTTTTTGTTACTGATGAAACGTGTGCTTTGAGCTTGTTCATTGTGCTTGTGCACCACTGCAAATGCAGCTGCAGCAGCATCAACAAATAATGTTTAATAACAAAGTTGTGATGTCAAATGGTGTTTTTTAAATATATATTAGAGATGTGCTCCCAGTTTTTTTTTTTGCATAAACCCAAAATCGGCAGCTAGATGTGAAATTTCCAATGATTAAAAAAATATATTTTGGATTCTTTAGAAAACCGTGACATCACTAATATATCAATCGATAGCTCGATTGATATATTAGTGCCCCCAGTACCTACATCTTCAATTATCTATTGAACACTCAATAATATTCTGTCTTGGTACACAATTAAATCGTAAATGACAATGCTAATGCCCTTAGTTTGACCACGAGAGCCTCACTGGGCCCACATTGGCAAGTTTGTTGTACGCCATTGATGAGTGATTGGCATGTGGGAGTAAAAACGGCGTACCCAGAGGAACGGACCTCTCTACACGAGGGTCGTAACACTCAAAGCTCCGCACGGATGAATTTAAGAATCCATTGCTTGACTGCTGTCTCGGTGCCACTTTCAAACCCAAGCATATATCGCCTGGCATTTGCAGGCTGGTCTCCTGCCATCGTATGGGTATTTGGCTGCTCTAAATTTCAACATGGCAAGCCACTCCGTTGAGCTGTCATTTGTGGCCAGATTGCTTCTGGAAAAGAGTTCTATAACTCAGTGGGCTTGGTAAAAAATAATATATAGTACGAATATACAGGTCCTCATGCCTGCGTATCTTGCCAGATCTGACGGGATCGGACACATTAATGGCGGTTTGTTGGAAGACTTGTACATCAAGTCCATTGTACGCGTGTGTACGCAACGCGCACACTCGTAGAGAGTTTGTCGTAGCTGCTCAAGTGCTGTCTGCTCATTGCACCCCGCTGCCAACCCGCCATCTCACCCACGCCCCCCCCTGCCCCCCCCCCCCGCTCCCCGTGTGTGTGTTGTATTTTGGTTTGATTGACAGGCCGAAGATGAGGCCAGACGGGGGTGCAGGGGATAATAACACGGGCTGGAATCTCTACGCCCTGCACCTCACCCCGCTGATACAGCTCTACAATGAGATGGTAGCGTCGGCTCTTTATGATCACTGTGAATGGGCCAGCTGGAATGGGCCAGGCCGTGTGACCCAGTTGGGAGTGCTGGGCTAGCCCTGGCATTGATAGAACATCCCTCAAAATGCCAATTAGTGCCTTGTGGCAGTGTGGCCCAAATATGGAACCCCTCTCCCCCCCTCCCTCAACACCCCCTCCACCTCTTGGTCCATAACAGGGACTTCTTAACCTGTCGAGCGTAAGGGGGGGAAAGGAGCTCGTACTGCTCTTATCATTGTTGGAAGTACGTCATAAAAACCCCAGCGCTTGTGTTTTATGGGGTTTCGGGTTTCACGGGCGCGTTGCGATATAAAGGATGCTTTACGTTGCCGAGCCTTGCAACGTGACGTGGCTGGGCTGTAGGTCGTTTGGAACGCGAGCAGAGCTCCCGCCTTGTGCGATTAGAGTTCACATCCCGACCAGGGTCAGCTCATCCACACCATTGTCATCATCGTCGTTGTCTTTCTCATTGTCCTGTTTACGACTTCAAAGAGCGACCGGTGCGCTGCGTGATCATAAGCGGTGGGGGAGACAAAGGCGGTCGGGCGTGGTGCTGGCCACCCCTGCCTGTGTACCCACGTGCCCGTGCCTTCGTAGGTGCTGCTCTCTTAACAGCACTTGTCCCCAACAGTCTGTTCAGGCTCCACGGGGTGCGTGGGGAGGATCTTTGTCGTCGTCGTCGTCGTCTGCGTGGCGTGCGTGCAGGTGGAGTACGGGCAGCAGTACGAGAGCACCTGCCCGGAGTCGCGCCTGCACCTGCTGTGTGAGGGCCACCTCCTGCTGCGGGCGGCCGCTCTCGCCGCAGGCCCCGGCTGGACCGAGGCGTCCGCCGCCGAATTTGCGGCCGCGTTTCGCGAGAGCTGCGCGCTGCTCGGGGACCAGTACAGCCGGTGAGAGGCGCGGGTCGCAACTGCACGCACGCTCACGGTCGCCTCCTTGTCACTCTTCGATCGCTGTTACCGCTCCTGTCGTGTCTGTGTGCACGTGCAACTTTTTTTTGCACGGTACGTAGCCATCTGAGTCAGAGGTGCGATCTTCGCTCGTCCACTTCCCCCGCCCTTCCCCCCCCCCCCCCTCAATCCGTGTTGGAGACTGCATCCGTATTTATCCTAGAGAAATCCCATGTGCTATGAGGCGCTCCTTCTCACAGATGTCCAGCTCGGTCCGGGGATACGTGCTCCGAATCCCGCACGTGAGATGGCGTGTCGGGTGCAATGGAATCACGTGAGCCACCAGAGGCCGCTACGTTCGCCTCGTGAAAAAGAAAAGAAAAATAATCGATAATTGAATTGTGTCGTGACGGCTCGCCGGATGGCGCAGGGGGTGATTCCTCACGCCGCTATTGAGAAGCGCCGACTCTAAAGAGCTCCGTGTGATTCTTCATAGCCCCATTGTGCCGTTTGCTGTGGTGTCTGTTGCTCCAAGTCTTTCAGTATCTCTCGCCCCAGAAGATACGTGGAGGGGTGTACACAGAGAGAGAGCGCGCGCAAGAGAGTCGCGACTGACTGAGAAAATCGGTTTTGTAATCGCACGCCACCGCTTCAGCTTTCAGTGCGGCTCCTTTATTTGGGTTTCTGAACGAGAAAAATTAAAAAGCCTAAAGGGCTCGTGGCAGACCGTGGCACGTAATAGGAACCACATGCCGGCACGTACATGTCCCGCGCTAATAACTTTCAAATGTGCGGCCGTAATTGGGGCTAGAAATTGACGGCGTCATGCACGGCACGGAAAAGCAAGAGCCCATAACATTTTATTTCAACTTGGTTTACCGTGCATTTTTTTTTTTTATTTGAGACAATATTTCAACTTGCATTACAAAACGGCCGTGTGACTCGCAGCATTACTTATCCGGTACGTTTTAGCTTTCTAGATAAATCAGTGTTTAAAATGCTTGGAGTGTGTGTGTGTGTGTGGGGAGCGGTAGCGTAGCGGTTAGTGCGCTACGCTGCGAACCCGGCGACCAGACTTCGATGGCTGCTGACGGCGAAACACCATTGACAAATATCTGGGCCTCCCCTAGGTCGACTCTGCCTCAAATGGTGTGTAAACATCACCACTGGGGCGACCAAGGCCACCTACCCCCTCGTATGCCGTTCCGGAAGGCCTTCATAGGTTTTCGCTAAGAGCACTTTCCCCTACAGGCTTTACAAGCTATAGGAGGGATCTTTGTCTTTGTATCGTTTTCTTCATCGCGCTCTTAAAATGTAAAGTCTTCGTGTAACATGTCAGTTGGTCGTTGACGAAGTTCGTCATTAGTCTCTACGTCTTTGCTTAATTGGTGAATAATAGGAGGGAGGTGACCGGGTGGCACAGGAGGTCCGGGAAACTGAGCCGGCACCGCTGACATACCGGGGTTCGAATCCCGGCAGGCGCCCGTGATTAAACCGGTGACTCAACTGCGGCAGGTTGATGGTCTCAGCCTGGTCACTGGTGACTACTTAGCAAAAGAAAAAAAATAATTAAGAAAATTCCATCTTGGAGCCTTTACAAATGCAAGGGACACTCTTTTGCAGGACATTTTTAAAGGCTTGTCCCCTTGTGTGCTTAAAGAAACCAACTCAAGTGACCTTGAGAGTAGTTCTGTGATATTGTCTTCTACGGCACCGTCTCTGACACAGGGTGATGCACTTCTGGCTGTGAGAATTAGAAATGGAATGTTTTGAGAAGTAGGTCTGTAAATAATCTCTTTTGCAGCTTTTCTCACAAAATACGGTGAGATCCCCTGCTCTGGGAGATTTCCCGATTTTTAGATTCTCCATCTCATCACTTGGTGCCGATAGTACACGAGGAACAACATTGAGAGAAGACCAAAGTATATAAATATACATGGCAAATATTGCGTAAACTATCGCGAATAAGTGTTTGTTTTAGGTATGTTTTCACGCGATCTGTGGTCCAAATCTGAATTTTACGATGAACTTTTGCCAGCATTTCGCAAGTAGTGTTAGCTAATAATATTCATCATCATCGCCCTCATCAGCCATAGTCTGTCCACTGCTGGATGAAGGCCTCCCCCACTCTGTCGCCATCCCACGCGGATTTGCGACGCCGCGATCCTTCCACAGGAGCCGATCCCATTTGCTCCGTCTCCACCACAGGGACCGCTGTCTTGTGCGCCAGTTCTCCTTTGGCTGACACTCTGACCAGTCTCTTCCATCGGACATCATCCCTCCTGCCCGAGCCCGCTAACAGTCCTTGCCAGTTTAACACGTAGGCTTTCGCGGCCAGTATTATTCATTATCAAGGTTTTATTTGGTTAGATTGCATTTATTATAAATGTGTCGCAACCCTCGACCACCCGACACGGCCAATCAGTCCTTGGCAGTCAATATAAGGACTCCTAATTTGCATATTACTAATTCAGATTTTTTTTTTTTTATTCGAGTGGAGTGATGGTGCAGCGGTTGGACGTGTTTCACCACGAACCCAGCGGGCCTTGGTTTGATTCGCTGGCCACGGCCAACATGAGTGGCGAGTGAGATCCGATTCTGAGCCCATTCCTCACCAATTGTCGCTGACCAACGTGGTCAAGTATGGTCAAACAATCACCATGATTGACACGGCGGTGAGGGAGGCCCTTCATCCGAAGCAGTGGATTTGTAAAATAGCTTTTAATTGTTTAATTTTTTATGTTTCTCACCAATTATTATGGATGAGCATCTCCGATCTGCAGCTTTCGCCACGCACCACCGCAGCGGACGCTTTCGGGAGTTGAAATTAGGTGAAACCCACACTTCGGAATAACAGCGGGGGCTGCGAGAGCGTAGTGTTTAATCTCACCCCCCCCCCCCCCCCCCCCCGTAATCTTGGTGACTAGATTCCATCGGCTGTCGTTCGGTAAGCGGGCCGGAGAAAGCGTGACACATCGCGCTGCGAGTTTTGTTTTTCAGGCCCCCCCCCCCCCACCACGTTCGGGCGTAAATGCGCCGTGACAAACTTGTCCATTTATTTATCCGTCGGCTCCATTTTGTGTTATTCTACACCATAATTGGTGCTTTTCCATGTTCGACTCTCGTGTTGGGGGGGACGCGCTTTGGTGAATGGGCGAGTTTGTTTAAGGAGAGGAAATGGAAGGGATGGACCGGAGAGCCGTGCCGTATTAATCACTGTCTCCACGTGCGTGCACAGATGGCCTCGCTTCTCAGTGCGCCACTTGTTTGTGGAGACGGCAATTTATAGATGACCGGCTTCCTGTTTTGGGCAAAACTTCACTTGTGGCAGGTCCCGAGTGGCCGGGAATTATTTTTATTTTTAAATTAAGTCTCGTGAGTTTCCAAGGTACGTGAGGTTTGGTTTTTCTCTCTCTCTCTCTGTGCAGAAGGCGGTTCCATTGCTGTCCTTTATTTTGCAGATTTCAATTATTCAAGTTAAAACAAGAGCCCTCTTTGATATCCGTACGAAAATGTGTCACCTTCTGAGCTTCGAATATCCCACCATAGTTATATTCTCGTCTGGATCGCGCAACTGCCATTGTTTCTGAGTTAAAGTTAAATTGTTTATTAAATATTCATGAGCGGATTGCTTTAGTCCACTGATTAAGCCACATACAGTTCAATATCTATACCAATATTATGATACTGGTTGTTATTTATCGAAAATATTAACTTTTTCTACAAATTTTTAAGACAATTACAAATGGTTACTTCTACTCTGGCAGTGTTTCGCAGAACATTTATAGCAGGTTGATGTTTCGGGCAATGGGCCTTCTTCAGAGCAGAGAGCAGGGTTGTCAGTTGCCCTGGGTTACATAGTCATTAACCACGAAATCATTATAAATGGTCCAAACCCTGTAAACGGTACTATTTTTATTTCAGCAGGTAAGGCCTGCTGCACTATATAGCTCCTTATCAGAAGCGACCTGGCCACAAATGATAGCCCAATGAACGCGTGACGTTAATTATAAAATGTGGAGGGAAAAAAGAATCCGGAGGACCCAGAGGTAAATCCACGCGACCTCGGGGAGAGCGACGCACGCAACCTCCAGATATACAGCAGGCGTCGGGGTCGCGATCGAACCCGCAACCTCCCGCATACAAGGCAAGGGAGTTAATATCTCGCCACGGCAAAAATCAGCAGACTTTAAACAACCGTTTATCGTACTGAGATAGGAATCAAAAACGCGTGCAAAGTTCCGACATTTCTCTCCTGCGTTTCGGTTACCAGTTTCGGCGCTTGAGGCAGCGCGTTCAGAGACGTCCTGAGGAACGTAACGAAAAAAAGTACGAATTTAAAAATAAATAACTGACCCTTCCATGCTTGGCTGACCTTTGAGGCCTGCTCATAATCACAGCATTTGTAGTCATTTACATCCGGAAATTTAATCCACAGCTTGAGAGAATGTATGAGCGAATGTGTTTAAGTTGAGCCATTGCTGTACAAATAAACTGGGCCTTGTCGTAATTGCCTTGCTGCCTCTGCTTTCTAGCAGGCTTTTGACAAGGCAATCGCTGTTGCCTTTAATTTAGAAAAAAATAAAATCCCTGGAATGGTGGGGTTATGTTAAGGGGTAGTGAAGGGGGGGGGGGGGGGGGGGGGGGGCGCGATCTGAATTATATAAGGTGGTTGTCCCCAACCACACACGGATGATATTAGTGACCGACTCATCTTGAAAAGTAGTTTTTTTTGCTTTTGTTTTCGTTGTAATTTTCCCCCCTCAACGTAATCTCAACCGCGCTATCGGCGTCGCATCGTCACGAGACCAACATATCCCTGCTGATCTCCCGCTGGGAAGCGCGATCCTTTGCGCGAGGGGAGCAGACCGCCGTAACGGATTATCGTAGAGCTGCCTCCGAGAGAGGCCCCCTCAAAGCGGCCTCCGGTCCGCACCGTAGAGGGGGGGTAGCACTCCGCTCCGAGAGTGAGGTTCGTTGTGCTACGGCCAAACCGACAA